AAATGTCACCATTTGAGACGTTTTGGGGCAATTTGGGGCCCGTGTCAGGCTGTTGCGGGGCAGTCTGGGACATTTGGTGCCTGTTCTAGCTGTTTTGGGCTCTTGTGGGGTCATTTGGCCATGTTTTGAGCCGTTTTGGGCTGTTTCGGCGTGTTTTGGGATGTTTTCCAGGTGTTTTGTCACTCACCAGGCGGGACAGCACCAGCGGGGGGCGGTTGCTCCGGCTCATGAACAGGGGCTGTTTTGGGCCATTTGGGGGTAATTTGGCCCCGTTTGGGGCCGTTTTGGGGTGTTTCGGGGTGTTTTGTCACTCACCAGGCGGGACAGCGCCAGCGGGGGGCGGTTGCTCCGGCTCATGAACAGGCGCTTGAGGACGACGCGGGCGAAGGCGGCGCGAGTGCGACGGGCCAGGAAGCGGTAGAGCTGTAGGGACAGGCRGCGTCAGCTACAGCCGCACGGGCGGCAACACTCTACGGGTGTCACCAACACCCGCACAGCGATGACAACACCCTATAGGTGTCGCGACCACCCCGTGGGTGTCGCTAATGCCTGCACGGGGGCAGCCACAGCCCATGGGAGGTGGCAACAGTTGCACGGGGATGACAACACCCTATGGGTGTCACCAACACCTGCACAGGGCGGCCATAGCCTATGGGTGTTGCCAACAGTCACACAGGGTGGCAACAGCCCATGGGAGGCAGCAACAGCCACACGGGGATGACAACACCCTATAGGTGTCACCAACACCCATGGGGGCAGCAACAGCCCATGGGGGGGATGGTGACACCCTATGGGTGTTGCCAACACCTGCACGGGGCAGCAACACTCTATGGGTGTCACCCACACCCTCAGAGTGTCAGCAACACCTGCACGGGAAAGATAACACCCTATAGGTGTCACCAGCCTATAGGTGTCACCAGCGCCCATGGGGGCAGCAACACCCTATGGGTGTCACCAACAGCCACACAGGGGGTCCCAGGGTCACCAACGCCCCCATGGGGGCAGCAACACCCTAGAGGTGTCACCAACACCCCCACAGGGGTGGCAACACCCACATGGGGGGCAGTCACATCCTATGGATGTCACCAACACCCCATCGCGTTCAGCAACACCCTATAGGTGTAACCAGTATCCTTTGGGTGTCACCAACACCATGCCCCCCCTCCCACCTCATAGGGTTCCCCAGCACCCATGGGAGCCCTATAAACCCCATAGGTTCCCCCAGACACCCTCTGCTCCCATGGGTGCCCCAGATCTGCCCTATAGGTGCTCCCAGCACCCACCAGTGCCCTATAAGCCCCATGGGACCCATTTGGGCCCCACAGCAACCCCCAGCACCTATAGGGTTGTCCTGGCTGCCCCCTGCACCCAGAGCTGCCCCATAAGTGCCCTACAGACCCCATAACCGCCCTACACGTGCTCTATAGGTCCTAGAGGTGACCCCTACCTTAATGAGTAGCTGCAAATCGACGCCCAGCTGCCCTCCAGCCCCCATAGGTGCCCTATATGTGCCCCATACCTTAACGAGCAGCCACAAAGAAACACCCTGGCTGCCCCCTAGCACCTAGAGCCACCCCATAGGTATCCTATAGGCCCCATAGGCACGCCATACAGGCCCTATAGATGCCATAGGGGCCCCATACCTTAACAGGCAGCCACAAATAGACGCGGCTGCCCCCCAGCACCCAGAGCCACCCCACAGAAATCCCATAGGCCCCATAACTGCCCCACATGTGCTCTAGAGGTGCCCTATGTGCCCTACAGACGCCGCACGTGCCCCATAGGCGCCCCATACCTTCACGAGCAGCCGCAAATAGACATCCTGGCTCCGGGGCTCCTTGCGCCGGACTTTGCGGTCCCGGTTGTGACGGATGTCGACTCCCTGCGAGGGGGGACATGGGGGGGCAGCCCCACAGCGTGAGGGGGGGGGCTATAGGGGCACCCTGATCCACAGAACAGCCCCACGGGGACCCCATAGAGCAGAGCTTTAGGGGTCTATAGGGGCCCAAGCCTCATGGAAGGACCCAGGGGGGTCCAAAAGGGGCTTCCAGTCCCGTAGCAAGACCCTATAGGCCCCACAGCAGCTCCCTAGAGAGGGCCATAACGAGAACCTATGGGTCGCATAGCAGTATCCAGCCCCACAATGACACGCTATATGTTCCATAGGGACCCACATCCCATAACAAGACCCTAYGGCCCACATAGCAGCTCCCTATAGGACCCCTTAATGAGACCTTATGGGCCCTATCATGGCATCCGGCCCCACAACAAGACTCTATAGGGTCCCATAGGGAGCCCCCGCCCCGTAACAGATCCCTATACGCCCCATAACTGCTCACTATAGGGCCCCATAACAAGATCCTATAGGGCCTTATAGCAGCATCCGGCCCCATAATGAGATCTTATGGGCCCCAAAGGGATCCCCTGCCCCATAACAGGAGCCTATGGGCCCCATAGTGGCATCCAGGCCCACAACGAGACCCTATAGGGCCCCACAGGGAACCTYGCCACATAACGGGACTCTATGTGCCCCATAACGAGATCCTATAAGGCCCATACCAACATCCAGCCGCATAATGAGATCCTACAGACCCCAYAGGGACCCACAGCCCCTAACAAGACCCTATGGACCCCACAATGTCATTCAGCCCCACARTGAGACTCTATAGGGCCCCATAGGGACTTCCCATCCCATAAAAGGTCCCCACAGGCCCCATAACCAGTCCCTATGGGGTCCCATAACAACATCCCATAGGGTCCTATAGCAGCATCCAGCCCCATAACGAAATCCTATGGGCCCCATAACCACTCCCTATAGGGCCCCTCAACAAGATGCTATAGCCCCACAGCACCATCCGGCCCCACAACAAGACTCTACAGGGCCCCACAGAGACACCCTGTCCCATAATGGGACTTTAAGGGCCCCATAGGGACCCCTTGCACCATAACGGGTCCCTATGGGGCCTACAGCAGCTCTCTACACGGCCCCATAACGAGACCCCACGGGCCCTATAGCGCCACCTGGCCCCACAGCAAGACTCTATAGGACCCCACAGAGATGTGCCKCCACATAACGGGACGCTATAGACCCCATAAGGACCCTCATCCCATAACGGGACCCTATGGGCCCCACAGCAGCTCCCTATAGGGTCCCACGAAACGCTACGGGCCTCATAGCAGCATCCGGGCCCACAAGGAGACTCTGCAGGGCCCCATAGGGTCCACTCGCCCCATAACGGGGCCCTATGGGCCCCATAGGAACCCCCACCCCATAACGGGACCCTACGGGCCCCACAGCGCCGTCCGGCCGCACAACGACTCCCCTTCCCCGCCAGGCCCTCAATGGCGGCGCCGCCATC